TCTTGGTCATCTCATCTACCCTTATGGTTTAGAAACTCTCAGATCTTTGCTCAAAGATGGCTGGTGTCTGGCCCTAATTATTCTAGACTCTCTTAGAATGTCGGGCATTTGGCATCTGTTTGTCCCTGCTGAGTCCCGGTCACCAATGCTGGGGCTACAAGAAGGGTCCTACTTAGTCACACAGGGACGCTGACCTTTCCCAAGGCTCTGCTCTGCCCACACAGTGCCGGCGCGGTCACAGATCTGCATATGGCTGTGTGTGCGTGTTTCTTGAATTTAAAAAAAGTGAGCAGTATATGAGCAGGGCACACATGCCGGTGCCAGTCTCAGACCCAGGTGGCAGAGGGCTCAGAGGGGGCAGCCCAGTCTGAGGATAGAGTCACTAGAGGGAAGTTTAGGAGTCAACCTAACTGTGGGCGGCTGCTGTCTAGATGGCAGCTGTGGCAAAGGGAGAAGAGCAGGGCCTTGGGCTCAGACCTGGTTCAAATTCCAAGTCTGTCACCTACTAGCTGTGTGACCCTGAACAAGTTAGCCTCTCTGAACCACAGTTTCCTTATCTGTGAAATGGGAGTGGTCGTACCTACTTTGTGGCATAGATATGAAGATTAAAGGTAACTAATATGGTACCTACATGTGGTCATGTAACAGGCAATCGCTCCTCTCCAGGTCTCTACCTGTGCCCACAGCCCAGCTGTCCTCCGGGAAAACTCTGGGCCCCAAATTGCAGGAACGTGAGGCTGAGAAGATCCGGAAGGACACACGTGGGCTCAGTGTGGGCCCCTTGGCCTTGGAGACTTGGCTGAAGTTTCCTTTCTGAGATGTGTAGAGAGCGGGACTTTAATGGCCTTGTGTGGAGGGGTGGCATTTAGGGCCCAGAGATTCAGAACCACTGCATAAATGCTGAAGTGCTTTTTGACTAATTCACTCAGTCGTGAAACTTCCTGATGGTTGACTGCAGCGTGTGGGGCGCTGTGAGCACGAAGTCCTTTGTTTTGTGGGGTCTCTGCTGACCCACCATCAGTGGGGCTTGTCAGCTTGGACATCCTTCCCCGAGAGGCTGACACGCTCCTCGGTGACATTCGTGTCCTGCTGAACCGGGACAGCTGTCTGCAGGATGACCAGTCAGGGTAGGGGATGCCTACTGGGGTCGTTCAGGCATTTTTTGCCCTGTGACCCTGGTCTCATCAGCCCCATATTCTAACTGACCAAACCAGCCGGACCCAAACCAGCTGATCCTCAGAGAGGCTTCTGATATCCGAGGTTCCACGAATCAGAGCTTCTTCTTTATTGCGTCTGCACAGCCACCCAGCCACAGGACGTGTAATTTTAGGATGTCTCAAGGTGCTGCAAGCTTCTGCATCACTAAAGATTGAGCTATGCACAGTGCCACCCTGGTGTCAGGCCCAGCTAACCATGTTCTGAGGCTGTGACTGCCGGGACACTCACGTGAATGGAGCTGCGTCCACCTGGCTGGGACAGAGGAGGCCTGGGTCCCGGCGCTGGTTCTGCCACAAACTTACTACTTGACTCTGGGCAGGTATCTTTCTCTCTTGGGGTCTCAGTTTCCTCATCTGGAAATTGGGAGTTAATGCTCTGCATTCTGCTGTCTCACAGAATAAGTAAAGATTAAAGCAGAAACTGAACACCCTGAGGCTTTGAAAGGTAAAGGGTGATTTGTGGCCCCTCGAGTGAAAAGCCTGCTGTTATTATTAACCACGTGTGTGCCCACTTTCTTGGATGGTGCTGGGTGACAGAGCGAGCTGCGTTCTGAGAGGTGACACTGGAGCCCTGCTCTATTTCCAGAGGAGCGTGGACTCCAGCGCGGGGAGCAGACCCGGCCACGTCAGCTGCAAGGGGACAGGAGGAAATGGCTCCCAGGCTCAGCGCAGGAGACTTGGGCAGCCTGGACACGAGATCTTGCCCTGGCCACAGTCTCAGCTTCCGGCTCCTGGTGCCCCCAGTTTGGTCTTGCCCTCTGCTCCTGGACCCCAATGCCCTCCCACTCTCATCGGCCAGTCCTCGGAGGGGCCAGAAGGGCCTGCCACCTCTTGGCCAGGGACGGCTGAGTGAAGACCTCCGTAACCCTTTGGCACTCCTACACATTAAATGCACCCACATCCCACATACAATCGAATTTCTTTACCATTCGTTATAATTTCCCAGTAAGCACATCACAGCAGGGAACTTTTGGGAAGTTGACAGCTAATGCACACTGTTTCCAAATGTGTGTATACACCAGATGTAACAATGACAGTGATGGAATGCCTCGTTTTGCATTGTAGTGTAGTCACACAATGTACTGCCACCCAGCAGTGACCATGACATGCAGTAGTCATGGACGAATCTCGTGAACATGAGCTCAAGAAGCCAGACACAAAAGGGACGTGCTGATCCATTTATACAAAGGGCAGGAAAGGCAAAATTGCCCTGTGGTGTTGGAGGTCAGGACAGCGTTCCCCTGAGGAGCGGAGCAGTGACAGGCGGGCCTGCGGGCGCTCTGGGTGCTGGGACACTGTGTCCTTGATTTGGGTGCTGGTTGTGGTGCGTTGGGTTTGTGGAGATCCGTAGAGCTGCACCGTTGAAGTTGTGCGCTTTCTGCGCACACACTCTGTTCCAATGAAAGCTTAATCATTACACATTTATCGATTTCGAATTTCTGATTTGATCTCACATTTTGGAGCCAAGACATGTTTTTCAGGTCTCAAGACATTTTTGGAGGTCCCAGACCTAGTGTATTAACAATCTGGGCCACAGACAGGCCACCTTCCTCCCCCGGGCTGGGGCACAGCCCCTCCTGCCTGGCCTCCCTGATCATAACCCAGCTGAGGGATGGCCCAGGAGGTCACGGCCGTGGGCTCTGCAGAGAGAGCATGCCAGTCACCACCCTCTCCAGCCGGGGAGACTCATCTCCAGCTCACTCCCTGAGCATCTCCAACCGTCTCCACCTGGGTGGCCGTGACGCTGCTCACTGATGGCCCACTGCGGTTATGTCCTTGCCACCACTTGGAACTTACCACCCAGGTCTTACAAAGTTCCATGTGCACGTCTTGCCCCTTATGAGGCTCTTGAGGCTGGGCCACGACACCCTCTGCTTTTGCAACCACCCCCGCACCTCACACGGGACCCAGGCAGGACACACCTACACTAAATGTGAGCTCCCTTACGCCCTGCCTGGGTGCGTCCACGCTTGGGGTGGATTTCCCTCTGCGAGCTGTGTGGCCTCGGGCATAGCTGCTCCCTCCCTGAGCCTCACTTAGCTGTAAGACTGGGGCAGCAATGCTAGCTTCACGGAGCTCCCGTGAGGACCAAGTGCGGGGACACAGAGCAGGTGTCTGAGTGGTGGTGTCCCAGTCCCCTCAGGTGGCACTCCCAATCCTTGCCTGGCCCAGGGTCAGTAAGAGGGGATCCTGGAGGGAAGCGGGCAGCCCTTCGTTCCTCAACACCACCCCAAATAATCCACTGCTTGAAAAGGTTCAAAGAAATGCCAGCAATTTATTGATTTCCTATATTTCCAACAAAGCAAATACACAGTGTATCACACAGGGAGACCGGGCCCGGCCAGCACGAGGTTCTCACAAACACAGCGCGAGGGGCGGGGGCGGTCCAGGGCGCCCCCCCGCACTTCCCTCCCTGCCCATCCCCTAGTCCCGACCTTGATCATCCAGCCACTGTACCTCTCAGCCAGGCTCCGAGGTGGATTAGAGAGCATCACGGCCTCCCTAGTCCCTGGGAGAAGTGTGGGTCTGCACTGCTGGTCTGCCCCCACTGGATGGGCTGCTGGTGGCCAGTGACCGGATCTATCTTAGGCACGGGGGATCTTGGGGTCAGGGCAGGGACAGGGAGAGACTGAGTGGCCCGTGTCCTTCCTCATTTGACCCCAATTGGAGCGTCTTGTTTTGGGTGTCAACGCTGAGGCCGATGTGGGTTTGAAATACGGAGACACGCCCGCACACGTACAGCCCGGCGAACCCCTTACTCCCTTTCTCCAGGAAAGGCATCCTCAAGACCCCTCAGTGTCACTCCTTCCAAAGGACAGGGCATGAGACGTTACCAAAATCAGGCCTGACCTAACTGTCCACCTCGGCCCCTGGGGTCTGAACAGCTGCCCCATCCCCAGGCAGAGGGCTGGGCCCTCCTGGCTTGTCACTCCAGCGGGGAAGGAAAATGGGAGCTGCTGTGGGCCGTGAGGGCAGCGCCACCACAGCTGGGGCCCCTTCCCGGGGCCGTCACGGACTCGCTCGGAGCGGCTACTTCCCTCTCACCCCGACTGGACTGGACAGTCCTCTCGCACTGGGGATCCCTAAAGCCAAGGACCCCTGTCTCTTCTCTCCTCCAGGAGAACGTGGGCTACGTGAGGACAGGGACACGTGCCTGGCCATCTGGGTGCTCCATACAGGGGTTTTAGAGAAATGAATTCCTCTGCCCTGATGACCGGCAGAGGAGTCGTCCTGCCATCTATGCCCAGGACAGTCTGGGAGGACCAGGCTCACACGCGGGCCTGAGAGGGAGGGAGCGGTGAGCTGGGAGCAGGAGGGAGAGATCAGAGACCCTCAGCCCCAGAGGACACCTGGTTCAATGGCCTGTTGTCACACGTCTGGCCTCCTCCAGTCTCAGCTGTCACATCTCCTGATAGGCCCATCCTTAGTCCAGAAAGGTGTTTTTCCGTTCTGATTGCTGGGGTCAGAGGTGGGGTTGGATTGGGGGATGGAGAGGGGGAAGGAGGCCCAGGAGGAGGATGAGGAGGAGGAGGAGTGAGGAGCACCTTCTCTTCTTCCAGAGGACAGTGTGGACCAGGCAGCTAATTCCTATCTGCTACCAACAACGTGGGCATGGGCGGCAGAGGCTGAGGCCCGCGGAGCTGGGCATCTCTGTCCTGCTTGGTCTTACAGGACATACTGAGGGCCCTTTACAGCGAGATTTTCTCTGGAGGCCCTTCGACTACTTCTCATCCGAAATGCACGAGAGTCTGCGGTCTTGGGTGTGGCTGGTCCCCCCGACACGCCTCTGTTATCCCGTACCCTGTGGCTGGGGCTCAGGGGAAGGTGGGGCCAGCCTCCAGCTGGGGGGTGGGCTTGCTGGCACCCGATATGACAGTTCCTCTCCTGGTCTATCTGGATTCCCTTCTGGGGACCCTGAACATTCCCCACCTGAGTCTCCCAGGGCACGTAGGGAAGCATCTTCCTGGTTAACCTCCAGATGGCCCCTGTCCCCATGGAGGCTGGAGCAGGTCCCTACTCAGCCCCAGCCGTCCCCTCCACCAGGAAGATGAAGACCAAACAGCCATTTCCTGAACAGCTCCTTGGCTCTGAGCACCTTTTGCCTTCTTTCTCTTGCAGCAAGTGGATGACAAGCCCCTGAAGGCAGGGCCTGTGTGGGCTGAGCCTGCTCTGAAGGGTACGCAGCCCAAGAGAATGGGGCACCCCCTCTCTGGCTCCTCGTCCCCCAGGACAGACCTCCTATAGCAGAGCAAGCGCCACCGTCCCTGCGCGTCTTCCAGGGCCCACGCCCTGCCCGCCCCAGGCCTGTGATGCTGCAGAAAGGGCGGCCTTCTCAGACAACCTGATTTCCCAGGAGATACACTCTCAACAGCCCTGCACCTCTCCCTTTGCCCCTCAGCCCCTGGGAGATGGTCCCCCTCTGCGGCCTCCCCGTGGGCCTGGCCCTGGTGAGGGCCCTGCCCCAGCACAGTGCATTTCAGGAACTGCACACAGAGAAACAAAAAGCACATGTCATACTTGCCCACGAGTGGGAAACACGGAGGGGAAACACGGAGAGTCCTCCTCACCGCCTCGTGAGCTGCAGTGCAACAGCCTCCCAAGCTTTTTGCAAGTTGTGGTCCGCATTTACACACTCACACACATGTGTGCACACACACTCACACCCTATACACATATATATACCATTTCTCAGCGAAAGAAGTATTGACATCCAACATAAGCCCCCTTAACTCAAGAAAGACCCCTCCCACCCTCCCCAACCCCCACTGCTTGCCAGTTCCCCTAAGGAAAAAAAAGAATCTAAAAATATTTCCATCATCCACAGTGTCCAGGTTTGTTCTTGTTGCGTTTGAACATGTCCAAATACTGCACAAGGTGGATAGGATAAGCCCTCCAGTGAGGCCCGCAGTCTTCTCAGCTGGGTTGTATAATTTCTGGAAAAGGAGAAGTCTCCCAGTCAGCATTCAGAGCGATACACGCCCACACCTGTACGTCCAGGTCCCATACCTGCCACCCGTCCCCCCATGTCCGTACTGATGTGCTCTGGCCTGAGACTGGGTTCAGGGACACGGAGACACATTCACAGGTAAGCTTGTGAGCTTTGTCCCCCCCGCCACCACGCCCACCCTGTTCCACCCACACGGTGCCCAGCGCAGTGCGGGGCAGCTAGACTATGCTCCTTAAGAATCTGCTGAATTCAGTTTTCTTCCCTTCTCTGTTCTCATCTTGTTGATGCTCGTCTGCCAGGAATGGGTGTCTGAAGTCTTACTTAATCTTCATCTGGACCAAAGTGACAGCCCTCTCCCCCACCAGGACCCTCCTGGGTTTTGGGGTTGGGGTGCTGACAGAAGGCTGGAGCACTAAGAAGTCCCCTTCAGCTCATCCCTGGCTCTCTGCAGATGGCCCCATACCGGAGCCGCCTCTGGTGACCCTCTCTAGGAAGGACGATGTCTGGTTGGAGTCCTGAGTGTGGCCCTTGGCTTACCTGCATCAGAACCACTTTGGATGGTTGTATAAAAATGCCTTTTCCTGGACCCCACTCCAGAGCTACGAGTCAGAACTGCTGGGGTTGGGGCCGACAGCGTGCATTGCAGCAAGCATCCGGGTGATTATCATGAAAGCTCAGGCCTATGAGCCTTTGTCATAGATATGGATTCTGAGATTTGGTCCCTAGAATCACCAGCTGGAAATAAGCTTGTTCACACTAGGCATGTGCAGAGACTTGAAAGTGGATTACAAAAGGGATAAGAAAGTGAGCTATGGATGCCCAAACCCAGAATGACATATTATATAACTCCAGGGGGGCCATTCACACTGTAGTCCATGTGAATGGCACCATCTGGGTTGTGCAGTGTACAATCTACACAGATGTACCTGGCAGTCCTGCCCAGACCTCCGGCCTGCTGATGCTATCAGGACATCACACACCTCTGATGTCCTGTGGTGGGACAGCCACGGCACTCTGGCCAAGCAGTCCACACCACTGCCCTCATAGCCCTGTGTTGGCCAGAGCCAGGCTATCTGCCAGGCCAAAGGATGCTCCTGAGTCCCTGGGGAGCACGGGCCTGGCCCCTTTCCCTGAGACTGGCTGAGGCTGCTGCAGGGGTCCTGGAGGTGCCCCCTCTACTGGGGGGGGGGTGGGGCGATTCTTACCTGCAAGCTGAACTTGCTTGGGTGGCCTCTTCTTAGAATCGGGAGGTGAAGTTCCTGAGGCTGTTGGCCCGGGCTAGGGCTCCCAGCATGTTCCTGTCAAATCCTTGCTGCAGGAGGAGAAACAGCAACTGCACGAGACATCCCAGGATGGAACCGGGCGGGGCCTCCCACAGGGTCAGAAACCGTCCTCCCAGAGCATCCTCGGCTTGAACCACAGCCCTGAGCACAGGCTACGTACATGTATCAGGGCTAAAATTGGCCTAATTCAATGTGCAGCCAAACCCCAGGCCAGCGACATCCCCACATCAGTGAGACGTGCCTGCACCCCCACCAGCACATCTGAATTTCCCACTTGCAGTTGCAGAAATCGAATCAAGGCATGAGGAAGTAAGTATTACTCTTTAAACAGAACTATAACCAAATTCAGACTAGAAAAGTTGTTGGTGGTTCTTCAGTCTGACTGTCTGCTTTTTTTCAAATCCAGAGGAGAGCTCTGGGCAGGGAGGGCTTGCCCAGCACTTCTCAAACACTGGAGCAGGGCTGGCGCTGGTGGAGAGAAGCCACCGTGCAGGGGCTCTGTTTTCTCGTCTGTTCTCCCGCCTCCAGCCCCCCAGCTCCTGAGCTCCTGCTGGGTGAAGAGTCGTGCTCCTGTCATTCCTCCCAGCATACAGCAGGTGCTCAGTAAATGCCTGGTGTGAATGAGGACAGAGCAGGGGCCCAGCGGCTTAAGAAGAGGCCACTGGTGCCAGCCCCGAGCTCTGAGAGCCTGTCAGCTCTCACTGACCTCTGGGAATATGAGGCCCAAGACCGCAGGCGTTCGGAGGCCCGGTCCACCCGGTCTGGGCATGAACCACGCAGTGCCCTTTTCCGTGCCGCTCTGCTTGCTCCTGCCGAGCTTGGCTGGGTTTGGTGGAAAGAGCCTGGTCCCAGCCCTGCTCCCGCTGGACTCGCTGAATCAAGGCGCACTCCCAGAACCCTGGCTCCCCAGGCTGCGGGGCGGACATCAGTCACGTGCCTGCCCCACTGAGGCTGTAGCACCCAGCGGATGGTGGCTCTGCAGGAGCTTGGGGAACAGAAGCCCCGACCTGGTCACGTCAAAGCTGTTGTCAAGCACGGCCGGAGGGAGCAGTGAGGACTGGTCCCTGTGGGCACCGTACATAAGAGCTAACCAGGGTTCTCTGTGTGTTGCAGGATGGCTGTGGTCTCTGGCTGTGTTCTGGGGGAGGTGAACCCTCTGGACCACCATCAAACAGCTCGGGGAAGCTCGCCCAGTCCTCGCCCACCTCCCTGGCAGCTGTCACGTGGCCATGCTCGCCCTCATGGCAGTGTTGTTGGAGAAGAGCACTGGATGGTCTGACGGACAACAAGGGCCACTACCGGCCGGCCGTCAGCCTCTTCCAGCCGTTGTTGACCCCAGTGGCTTCCTGGGCCTCCCTCCGGTCTCCCTGCTGGGCCGGAGGAAGAGCTGTTCCCCCGCCCCACGTGGTAGGCTTCCGTCCCCTCTCCTGCCTGATCAGGCTGCTCCTGACCCTCTAAGACCCCTCGGTTCTCAGCTTCCTCATCCCCCCTCCATGTTCCCCTTCTCTGCCCTCTCCTTCCTACCCGGCGATAGAGATGCTGACATCCCCTCTGTCGTTAAACAGGTGTCTTGTTACCCATCCTTCGTCTCCCTCCTTTCTGGGCCAAACCCAGGTGAGGAGGTCCCCCCGCAGCCCCCACTCCCCTTCCCCATCCACCCCTCACCCTGCTCCACTCCACCCCACGGTGCTCCCCTTGCTTTGCCAGCAGCGCTCTGAGAGGTTGGGAGATTTCCGAACCCCTGGACCCAGGGCCTTCCTGGTCTCTGTCCTGCTTGTCCCCTCAGCAGCCCTGGGAACCACTGCCCCCTCCCTTAGCACCTTCTCTTCCCACGAGGTTTTGGCCCCTTCCTGGCCACCCTGCACAGCTCCTCTGGATTTCCAGGCCACCAGGTGAGGGTCTCTCCATGCATCTCCCTGCCCTCCACGGCTTTTCCGCAGACACGTGCCCCACGATGTCCCTGCCTGTTCTTGCGGCTTCTCCCACCTGAACAATCTGAACAATGCTCCAGTCTGCGTGGTGGCCTGGCCTCTCTCCCTGGGCCCCACACCTGGGCCCCCAGCCCATTCTTTCAGACTCCACCTCCCCAAATTAGGACTCCTTCTGTTCCTCCCTCACAAACCCCCTCAACCTCTGCCAGCTGCTGTTTCTGTTAATGTAACTGCAGCGTCTCCAGCTGCCAGCTCGAGCATCCTCGGTCCCACGATCCCGCCCCTTCTGTTCCTGTCCTTCACTTCCAGCCTCACCGCTGCCTACATCTCAGTCTAGGACAGCTGCCGCGGCAACGGCAGAGAAGGTCAGTGTGAAGAGATCCTGTGAAACAAGCCCTGCGCTAGGACTTCGTGGGGATGGGGTTGGGAGGTGCTGGGGACAGAGCAGAGCCAAAGTCCCCACTGGACACACACAGCAGGCCCAGGGTCTCTCGGTCCACACTGCCCTGCACGCTGGTGTGGAAGGGGTCTTCCTACTGTTGTTTTCATCATGAAACCCTCGATTCTAACGCCCGATGGCTCCCCAGTGCCCAAGGCAAACTCTCAACTCTTCAGTCTGAAATCGAAGGAGTGTTGTAAACTGGCCCAAACCTCCCTTTCCAGCCAGAGTGCATGTCATGC